TAAAGTTTCGTCGGAACGAAGTTACGGAAAAATCAATTAACAAACGGAGACGTAACAATATATTAAAAATAAAACTACATACAATGTATGGATGATACAATAGCAAGACTGATCATATTTTAAACTGTATTATTCTTCATTGGCCCTATACAGATTTCCAGTAAGAAAAATTATTATAATGCTTCAGCTATTCTTAGTTTGGTGTATAATGCTGCCAGTTGTATGAATTACTGTGAGAGTATATATGTGCAGTAACATATACATAACTACACACACACATACATACACTCATACATTTTAAAAGAAGGAAAAAAAATGGTACTTTCATAACAGACAAGATAAAATTAGAGAATACTAAAAATGATTTCATTTAAAAAATAATGTAATTTAACAGACTACAGTAAAAAATTAATTTGACAAGGACTTTACAGTAAAATTTAAAAATTGTACTTCTGTAATCAAAAACCAGCAAATGGCAAATGAAACTGAAAATTCAATCCATAATAAACAAAATGAAAAGTGAGCAAAAACAAAGTGCCATTGAATATTGCACAAGATTCAACAATAAGTAATCTGCACTGTTTTCTTCATTCAATCTCTGTTTTAGTCTACTGAACAGTAATTCCCTTTATATGCAGTTTCTGTTCCATGTTTAGTTTTGGTTATATTTCTATTGCTGTCCTGTGGTGCTTCAGAGGATGGAGGTTTTATATGCTGGTCTTGGTGATTATATTGGGAGAGAAGGTTTCAGTTACTAAAGTTAATATCTATGATGGGTTGGATGTGGTAATTTATTTTGTATCAGAAATCAAGTGAGTGACTACAGTTTGCATATTAATACAGTTTAATTTTTTCCTCTTCTTCACAAAATAGGCCAGGAAAGACTAACTTCAAGCAGCTGGGTTTGTTTCTGCTAGCCCATGTGCACTAATTATATTCTATTAGTCACTTTATGCTTTAGTGTGTCCGTATTTGTACCTTTTTTGTCATAACTCGTATAATAAATTTAAATTTCTATATTTTATAAGATGGGGGCAACCGTTAAATACTTTTTACAAATATAAATGGTGTGAATTTTTTACGATATGGTATGTAGATTTTGTAGTACTAAAACTCATAATAAGACTTAGATTTCTGACAAATAAGTCCATTGCTACTGTAATTATTAATAGATATAATCACTTCACTTTATTGTTGTTCAGAAAAACGTAAAAGTCACATATTACGTATTACAAAAATGAGTTGGAGTTAGATTTTATTGAACAATACAAAAGATACAATGCAACACTTTAGTTTGTTAATTTCATATTATCTATTTATCAGTTTCATTACTTGAGACAGTATTTACAGTTAAAACGCGATTGTTAAATTTTGAAATAAAACCAACTTTAAAAACAGATAAAGTAATCAAATAACAGTTTTACAAAATCTTTCATTGTTAAAAAGCAAGTCAGTAACTTATAATAAATTGTTTAATTGGATAGATGCATAAAATAATGTCTTTTTTTTTGTAGAAATAATCAGTTAGAAAAATTAAACAGGAAAATAAAATGTGAAGATTGTTATAGATCATCTAAGATATAGTCTTCAATTTTTCCAATTATGATTTAAGTGACATAGAAAAAAATGTGGTTGGCCCACCGTTTACCAAAAAATACCTAAATGTGAGAATTATCTATTGAATTTTGAACAGCTGCTGCAACAGTTATCTAAACAAACAATCTGGCAGGAAAGCAATGAATCTATTAACAGCATAAACACTCAAGTAAGTGGCACTAATTTAACATATTTTGATTACAACTGTAGAAGAAAACTTACTGATGTAAAAAAAAAAAAAGAGGAATTTCAGGACAAAAAGTAATGAAATACAAATGAAAATAAAATGATTATAAAACCCTATGAGAGAAATATAATCATTAAAACTGATTACATTAATAAAGTTAAAGAAATCTTAAGTGATAGAACTGAATTTGTGAAATTAGAAAGAGGAAAATGTATATTAACTGAAAATGAATTTCATTAAATAAAACCAACTGGTTCTCATTCTGGAATCATGTATGGAGTTCCTTGAGTCCATAAAGATGTTTGTTCTATTAGAATGATATGATCTAAAATTGGTCTATATAATCATGAACTAGCAAGGTTTCTGGTTGAGAGAACTATTAATTAGAAATGATTACACTATCAAACATAGTTCTGAGTTTTCTCAGGATATAAAAATAATTATATATTTTTTTCTTGACCTTAATTCCAACTAGTTTGGGTTGATATTTATATAAGCTAGAAATTTTCACACCCAGGTGGCTGGCCCGTCAGCAACCATATAGGATGAGCATGTTCAGTGACAGGGGTTTCAACTTGCAACCCTTACATTGGGGGTCAAGTATCTTAACCACCAGGCCATGCCAAGCCCTTGAACCGTGAATTTTAATAATGGAATATATTGTCCTAGTTTTGTTACATAGTCCCTTTACACTAATATACCAACAGATAAGACCATAAATTTATGTAGCAAACTTTTTATAAAAAAAGAACTGTGTTGAAATGAGATTTCCTAAGTATGTATTTCAGAAATACACAAATTCTGCCACCATATATATGACCAAATTGACAATGTTGCTATAGGATCTAGATTAACTATATCATTCATTAATTTTTTCCTTTAAGAATATCTTTCTCAGTTTAAACCAGTATATTACAGACGATATGTATATACCTTTATTATCTTCAGTGATACTCAACACCTATTTTTTTAATCTCATAGTAGACATCCTAATATTAAATTCACAGTTGAACATCAACAAAATCACCAACTTACATTCTTGACCTCTTTTATTCCTAATAAAGACAGTAAATTTGACTGTGAAATTTTTCATAAGACTTTCACTAGTTTGTATTTCAACTTTGACAGTTTTATACTATTGTCTTTTAAGAAACATCTGGTTAAAATGTTGATTCAACAGGCATATAAATCAACAAGTATGATATTTGTCAAAAAAGATGGAAAATATTAAGAAACTTTTACTAAAAATGTCTTTCTTATAAACATTATAAGTCATGTTGTTCAAGACTATTTAAATTATAGTATTTCTACACAACATAATTGGAATGTTGTTTTAAAAAAAATTATTTAATCCTGCCATATACAGGGTAAATAGGTTATTTTGATTAGAAACCAGATATACCAATTATATCATCATGCATACCCTAAGTTGAACTGAACTGTATTTTCAAACCTATATGCTGATAACAGTATTTCTTTAGGTATAAGAATTGAATACCTATCTATAAAATTAATAATGTGGTACATAAATATAAATATCCTAAATGATTTTTAGGTTATATTGGATCCCCCACTAGGTGATTTACAGTTTGCACATAAGATGCAAGTTTAAGATCAACATCATTTTTAAGCATCAAACAGTGTGCACTGAATGAATATAATGCACCTTTAAGTTGAAGAAAATTTAAAATATTCACAAAGGTAAATGGGGAACAGGAACTATGTATAAAGGAAAGACTATTGATCAATAGACTTAAAGTACAATTTAATAAGTAAAACAGTGTAATTAGTTTATTATTAAATCCTTAAGTGTTAGAAATGCTGTAAATAGTATAGAATATAGCAGCAATGCCAGAAAATTTATTATAGAATAAAAACATAATGTTTTAGTAAAAATGAAATAAAATGATTGCAATTTCAACATGGTTCAAGCTCCTAAAAGTTGCCTGAACTTTCAGGAAGTTAAAAATTGAATTCACTTTTGTAAAATTTTATATATCACAGAGGTTGAGTATGTTGTATTAAAATGACTCTGGAGCTTCTTTATGTCATTATAGCATGTTACCACATCAGGTAATACTCTATCTGATAACTTTACAATACCCTTGCAATGTAGTTTCTGTTGTAAAAGGGCTCGGTCTAAAGGCTTTAATGTCCAAATCCCACCACCCTTCCTTGCTTTTCATAATCCATGTAGGGTACAGGGATGGCAATCTATTAGCATCCATTTCAACAGACTGCACAGAAATTGATAAGTCCTTTGTTTTGTGATTCAGGCAGTACGTCTTCCCATGGAATAACATGAAAAGGAGGTTTGACTAGAAGCATTATCTTAGTGAACCTATACCTCCTTAATATCGGTAAATGTTGCTCGTGGTATGTGGATGGCTTTGCTACAGACCTTTGTGATAATGTATTCTCACTTGTTGTAAGATATATCCCTTTGCTTACTATGGCCAGGGTAAAACATTTTCCAGGATGGTCCTGATGCCCAAGTTGATCAATATTGTTTTGGTTTAAAATGCCATTACGCAAAAGGACTACCCCTGTCATGGAAATTCTAAATCTACAATTTGAACACATCATTATGATCTGAGTGTATGAATAATTTGTGTCAGAAAGGGTTGTTATATACCATTCCTAAAAATTATCACTTATCAGTAGCATTAAACTACTTATGAAACAACGAACAATGGAAAAACTATAGTTCTGATACATGACATTCCACTGTGAATTTATAATGGCTGCAGTTGTCAGATGACTTGCTAGGCTTGCATGTTCCAAACTGCTTTAATATAACATACTCAACCCTCTATACTGCTTACTGTTTCACTTTAGCTACCATATCTCATTGTAGCTTCAAAACCTGTCCACACTGTATTTTTTGTAAAAGCAAGATAATATTTAAACCATTTTGGCACTTCTGTTTACAACAAATATTTACATCACAAATCAACAAAGTAAAGTTTTCAACAATGGCAGAAACATACAATTTTCATACTAATAATTTGATAAGACTTTATACTTAAAGACAAGTAGCCAGTGGCATAAAAATTTCACATTATATTTTGTTTATATATTTTAAAATTGTACATGATTCACTCTCAGTGTTATAAAGATATCCCCCCCCCCCAATTCATCTTCATCTCTTTCAAAATATTTACACCCACCCTTGAGAAAAGTAAAAATAACCCAAACTTAATTTTTCAGTGAATCGGTGATTCCTCTTAAACTCTTATAAAGTGCCAGCCTTCATTGCTGCCCCTATTCTATAAGCCAAATGGCTACTAGAACAATTACAAATTTACAGAGGTGGGTTATCATACATGAACAAGTTATATTTTCTTAACTTCTTTTCTCTTTGATGATTTACTCAAATTACTGAAAAATTTATGAATAGGTGGGTTTAAAATTTAATTTTTCTCAACTGTGGATGTGCAGTTAATGCATTGTTAATGTTATCTGTCTGTTATGTGGTTTGATTAAGCAAACTTGAGTTATTTTCATTTTTCAAATGCAAGTGTTGCCTAAACTACATTACAGAATGTAATACAAATTACAATCATCTCCAGTCGATTTATTTTCAAAGAATAACATAGGACCATTGATCCCATCTACGCTGTACCATTTTAACAATCACCCTACTCAAACTACATTATGTTATATATTACATAATAAAATTTTTTCCTCACAACCAACCACAATCACAAAAAATTCGCATTCCAGTATGCTCCTGTACTCTATGTTAGTACTAGGGTTGTGTCTGAGTTCTCCCTGTAACCTATGTACTTTAAACTATTATTATTAAGGTTAAGCTTGAATCCCCTACTCACACTACATACACATTTTTTGAAAACAGAAAAGTGCAGCTGATTTATGGATTACAAAACTATAATATTAATAGCAGTAACACGACACTAACGGAAACACTGAGTAATGATACAAAAACTCAGTTTCACGTCTATTACGGTCAACACTAAGGTACATTGTTTATAGTTATACCTAAATTATAAAACTTAAAAAAAAATAAAAGTTATGCTTACCACTAACAGTAACAGTACAGTTACTAGTTATTCAGGTATTTTTTTAACAGAACAGTGCAGTATTATTTACACTTATTTAAAAACAACATTCATTATTTATTTCTTAATATAAACAATCATACAATATTATAACAATATAACGAATATTCATATAGTTGTATTCAATAGTTGATATTCATACTTATGTACCTACCACTATCAGAACACCTAATTGATTGTAGTAATATATGTTGGGCCACGTTACTCAAAGACGATAGTGCTCTGGAGCGATGTGCTTCGAAATCTCATCTCCCAAATGGAATTTGGACGGGGAGGAGATTTTGTGGCACAGCAGCATTGTTCAGTGTTGTAAAGTAAAACATAATTATTTATATCAGTTAAGACCACTGACCTCAGAATTAATTGTGATTGCATTTCTGAACAATAGCAGCTCCAATTTGCCTTGCCAGATCGATAATAAAGAATGCCAACTAATATATTATTTTTTTGTGAGTGCCAAATTGGTAAAAAATACTTTCTCTCTGGCGCTTGGTGTTTGTTGAACTTTTAGTATGTATGCAGTCATACTATACGTTTTCTAACCCCTTATTTAATATTGTTGCGTCAGTGAGATCACGTGACTAGTATCACACCACCCGTTTTTTAGAACTATCATGTTCCTTCGGGAGTGCTCTAGCATTTGCTAGATTGGAGGTAGCCTGGTATATATAAGATGGTCACGGCGTGACGTGACAATGTGTGTAGGTAGTGAGTAATTTAACTGCAATCAGAAAGTATTGTTGAAGTTAACGTTCGTTGTTATAGCGTTTGTTATAGAGCGACTGTTGAAAATAAGTGTATTGGTAAAGTTATATTCAGAAAGAATAAACCAGTTTTATTAAGAAAGGACTTGTGCCGCTAAAGTTACAATCGCTGTAGATTGTAACGGAGACGTAACAATATACATTTTTAAAAAAAATTAATGTATACAGGTATATGTATTATTGCGTCAGCGAGATCACGTGATTCTCACGCCCTCTACTTTCTAGAACTATCCTGTACTTTGGCGAATGCTCTAGTATTTACTAGATATAGGGTAGTCTGGTATATAAAAGAGGGTGACAACGTGACGAGAGAATAATGTGTGTGTGTAGATAGTGAGTAATTGAACTGCAGTCAAAAGTATTGTTGACGTTCGTTGATATAGTGTTTGTTTTAGCGCGATTGTTGAAAATAAGTGTATCGTAAAGTTGTATTCGGAAAGAATAAACCAGTTTTATTAAGTAAGGATTTGTGTCGCTAAAGTTTCGTCGGAACGAAGTTACGGAAAGTTAATTAACGAAAGGAGACGTAACAAATTGGTGTCAGAAAGTGGGATATATAAAAAAAAAAAAGAAGAAAAAGAAAAAGAGAAGATGGAAACGAGAAGCGGCAAATCAAACTACAGTTTAGCAGATTTGATGGCAGCAATACAAGAACAGCAAAAGAAACTTCTTTTCTTTTTCTTCTAACAACTGTTGTAATTTCTCTTCTCGTTCTTCTTGTTTCTTTTGTTGTTCGAGCTGCCATTGTTGCAGGTTTTCTTGCAACTGCTGTTGTCTCTCTTCTTGTTCGAGCTGCCATTGTTGCAGGTTTTCTTGCAACTGCTGTTGTCTCTCTTCTTGTGTTAAAAAGAAACAAGAAGAACGAGAAATTAAACAAGAAGAGAAATTACGGCAGTTGTTAGAGGAAAAAGAAAAGAAACAAGAAGAACGAGAAATTAAACAAGAAGAGAGATTACAGCAGTTGTTAGAGGAAAAAGAAAAGAAACAAGAAGAACGAGAAAATAAACAAGAAGAAAGATTACAGCAGTGGCAAGAAAACCTACAACAATGGCAGCTCGAACAGCAAAATAAACAAGAGAGATTACAACAGTTGTTGGAGGAAAAAGAAAATAAACAAGAAGAACGAGAAAAAAAACAAGAAGAACGAGAAAAAAAACAAGAAGAACGAGAAAAA